CAGTGTGTATTTGTGTGTGTGTGCCCCATACATTCACTTTTTTTTCCAGTATGGGGATTGAACCTAGGTCCTTGGACTCGCTGGACAAGTGCTCTACCACTTGACCTATGCCCCTGGCCCCACTCACTCTTACATAATACAAAGTTCATTAGTTGAATTCTGCGGAGAAGCAATGATCATTAGAGGGTGTCCACTGTATAAAGAACAGAGTGGTCACTCCAACTCTTCTCTTTGGAGTGATGTGTTTTAACCTCACACAATCCTCCAGTACTTTTTCAATGGCTTTTTTAACCCCAGGGTTCCACGTACTCAGGAGAAAAAGTAAGAGTATAGGTACAAAATTCAGAGCGTGCCCAAGTACAGTGTGATATAGTTAGCCCCATCCACGCCTCATGTGTTAAGTTTATGTGAGACCCTGTAGTTCAGAAGTTAGGACCTTTCTCTGTTATTATCCCACGGTCACACTCATCTTTACCCATCCAGTGCTATCCAAAATTCGCATAGAAACGTAGTCTCCAATGGAACAACCTTTAGCAGGTGATTCGCTCATGAAGGCTCCCTTGGCCTTCATGAGGGAGTGGGACATGGCCCTTAGGAAAGAGGCTCCCACAGCACTGGGTCTCCTTTGCACTTCCACCTTCCACCAAGTGAGGGTACAGTGTTCAAAGAGCCATTCTGGAAGTAGAAGCCAAATATCAAACATATTAGCACCCTGATTTTGAAGTTTAAAGCTTGCAGAACTGTGAGAAACAAAATTCAATTGTTGTCAAGTTAGTCAGTCTCATGTATTTTGTTACAGCAGCACAAACAGACCACGACTCGGAGTGATCCAGTAGTTCTACTCAACCACAATTAAGGATGCCTCTGCTATTACCAAAGTATTGGAAAATTGTATCATCAAAAGAGGAGAAATAAATTGAACTATTCCAATTTCACACCCTTACTCTCTTCCTCTGTTTTTTACAGACATCCTTCCCTAAAAGTTGACCAATAGTTACAAATCAGCACAGATGTTACATTGTCATTTCCCCACATTCCTTTGTAACTACTGGAAACCATAGTGATAGATGTGAAATGTAAGTGTGTGGTCATTTTAAATTAAATGTACATGTGGACTACAAAATATTTGAAAAGTTCTGCTTTAAGATTTCTCTTGTGAGTCAATTCTGTTATCTGAACTAAAAAGAACTTACTATAGCCCTGGGTAAATGTTAAATCAAAGTGACTTCAAAAAAGTGAATCTAATTCAAATGACAGTAGGCATTTATGCCCCAAATTCACCAAGCTGGGGTCTAAAAAGTCACTGGAAATGCTGGATGGTTATCATATTTGCAACTTGCTCTTAGTACAGAACGATTTTGTAGTCTTGAACAGAGTATTTTGAGGACCAAAAATTGTCTAAATCTCATGCAAAAGTAACAGGATTGTGTTTTTGCTGAAAGATATTTAAAGCAAAAAAAAAAAAATCCCTCTACTTATATCAAGCCATCCTACCCCAGTTAGCCATCATCACTGTCATTTCCTGATCTGTGACCTCTTTGTCTCCAACTCCAGGCTCTGATTGCAACTGTCACCGAGTCACACAGTCTGCACTAGGCATGGAGCCAATCTGATTACAACAGCTGCTTGTGTGACAGAGAAAGGTAGTTTTCAAGGCCTTAGCAAATAGCTCACCCAAGCTCCTGACTCTGGGGCATAAATTTTGGCTGTCATTCACAAGATGGAGTGTAAATACCCACCTAGCCTAGTAAGCCAGCAACCTGGAAAACACATGAACACAGAAGTCTACAGTGAGGACACAGAAGTAACAGTCAGATGGTCATACACTAACTTCCAGAGAGCAGACGCTAAGCACAGCCACGTTCCTCAAAAGTTCAACACACTGACAAACTTATTTTTATTTTCTGAGGTTGTAATGTCACTTGCTCATTTCTGAAACCCAGATGTCTAGTACATGATATGCAAATAAACAATATTTATTTAACAGAGATGGAATAAAGGTAACTAAGTCACCTAGAGACAGCTGCTGCATAGCGTCATTCACTCCAAAAGCTGCTACATTTGGTGGGGAGAACAGGGGATGGGAGCCTAAATAGTCTTCACTCTCTGTGTGTGTGTGTGTGTACATGTATATATGTATGTATTTTGCTTTGTTTTGTGGTACTAGGGATCGAACTCAGGGCCTTACATAGGCTATGCAAGCTCTCTTATCTCTTGAGCCATGTCCCCAGCATCTTTCAGTCTTTATAATTGAATGGAATTGTTTAATTTTTAACTATTTTAACTTCATGGAAATGAAACCTGCTTTAAAAAAACTTTTATCAAATAATACAGTATTCTAATAATACAGCTAAGACAGTAAGGCTGGGGGAGGGGCTGAAGGGGCAGAGCATCTGTCTAGCAAGCACAGGCCCTGAGTTAAAACCCCAGTACCAACAAAAAAAAGCATGTAACTTAGATGTCCTAACCCCGGTGGCAGCTATGCACTCTGTCACTGTATTTATTTCCATGTTTCTGTGTTCTTCCCGGTTTGGATCTAAAATAGCCTAGAACATTAAAACTATTTAAACCCCTGAAAAGAAATATAACTTTTACTATAATCTATCTCTTGTCTCTGACTGATAGTATTATTTTATTTCATTCTTAGTTTGCCCAATATCTGTATTAAACTGTGTAAACAGCACTTAAAGGAGAGTTAAAAAAAAAAAGACTGAAAATAGTAATGGTAGCTGCAATGTAATGAGTATCTTTTTTTCTTTTTTGTGGTACTGACGTTTGAACTCAGGGCCTTCACCTTGAGCCACTCCACCAGCCCTTTCTTGTGAAGGGTTTTTTGAGATGGGGTCTCTCAGACTACTTGCCTGGCCTGGGACCTGCGATCCTCCTGATCAGCTGTGATTACAGGTGTGAGCCACCAGTGCCCGGCTAAATGAACACTTTTTAGTTTCTACTCCTAATAGTGTTTGACGTGAATTATCAGACTTCTCAAAACACACCTGTCTCCAGTTAGCATTCTTACTTCTGCTTCACACCTGGGGAAAGCTGGAGATGGTTAGTGATTTTCCTGAGGTTACCCATCTAACAAGCACCAGAGCTGAGGTTCTAACCCAGGTCCCATTCTCTCTAATCACACACACACAGAAGTAATCAGTGACTTGAAAGGTCACTAAGACTCTTGGCCCACACACTTGAACAGCTCTAAAGGATACAAAGTGTCTCTTAAAGGAAGTAAAGGCAACTGAAAGCCCTCTTTGGTAGGAAATCAACACTGAGTAAGCAGAGGAAGTAAGCAGTCCCATAAGGACCTCCCAGGCCTGAGAGGCTGTGACTGTCAGTCACCACACTGCCTCTCTAGAACATTCTGCTCCCTGCTCAGCCAGGGTTTTTGTCCCTTTGTTTTGCAGCTGGGGTGTCCCCCAGGACACTCTGCTTTCCATAGATTTCTCGGCCTCAGTGGAAACTTGTCCTCTTAGCTCAGACAAATCTGGAATTTTTCTAAGACATGAAGGGGGAAATGAGCCAGGAGGAGGAAGTAAAGAAGGGTGGAAAAAGTAAAGAGATTCAGATGGCAGTAAAAGAGAACGTTTGAGATTATGGAAATTGACACTACTGCTGTTACCTTTTTATAGGTTTTCTTAGCATAGGTAGAAAGATTCCATTCTAAAACCCCAAATTGGGGGGGAGGAGGGTGGTAAATGACTCAAGTGGTAAAGTGCCTGCGTACCAAGTGTGAGGCCCAGAGTTTAAACCCAGTACTGCAAGGAAAAAACAAAACAAAGCAAAACAAAACAGATGGACCACACCCTGGACCAATGATTAATAGCCACAGTGAACATAAGGCTGGGCACAGTGGCACACACTTGCGATTCCCAGCTATTCAGAAAGGCAGCAATTGGGAGGATCATGGTTCAAGGCCAGCCTGAGCAAATATCAAGACCCCATCACAACAACCAAGCTAGGTATGGTGGCATGCACTGTAATCCCAGGTATAGGGGAGGCATAGGTACAAGAAATGTAGTTTGAGATCAGCCTGGGAAGAAAGGGAGAACTCTTATCTGAAAAACAACTAAAGTAAACAGGGCTTGGGGTATGGCTTAAGTGGTAGAGCAGTTGTCCAGCAAGCATGAGGTCCTGAGTTCAAACCCAGTACCACTTAAAAAAAAAAAAAAAAAGAAAGAAAAGGAAACAGATAATGGCCTGCTATCCGCCTTCTGGAGCACACCTCCCACATCAAGGTTATGCTGCACCCTGAGGACCTAGTTGCTGCTCCCCTACCTTTCACTGGTGGTACTAAACCAGAAAGAAAAGGGTGAAAGTGATCCAAAATGCAGAGGTGTGACTTCCACACCCAAGCAGGTACTGCACAGTCATCAAACCATTCAGGAGGGGCCGCAATGGGAGAGCCCCGATTTTGTGCTACCTGGTAACCCTCCCTATAGGACAGCAAAATCCCCAGACACTACTTCACCCTTATCCAACTGCCCACCTCATCCCTCGAAGGGCCCTGCCTGGAATCCACTTTGCTTGTAAATCGCTCTGCTGTCCTCCTGCTGCCCCAGGAGCCACGTCCTATTCTGGGCCCTGAATCCCAAGAATTGAGGAACACCTGGAACTCCCCAGCCACCAGTTTTGTTTTGTTGGCTTGTTTTCCAAGCCTAAAGAAAGATATTTACTAAAATGTCTATTCAATTTAGTTTCTTCTTTTGCCTTTTTTGTTTTTTTAAGGTGCTGGTGATGGAATTCAGGACCTCACACATAAGCTCCCACTGAGCTATACCCTTGATTGGGCCTGGGCGGCGGGGACAGCTGAGGCTTGTCTCTGTGCCCATTGTGTACGCGTTTTCTTAATTATGACAACATATGAAATGCTCAACAACCTTAAAATCTTTTTTTTCTGTTCTTTTTTAGTTTTTACGATTTCACCATATTTCCATACCTAGCATCAGGTTTTTATGGAATAGGACACCAAGGTTCAGAAAAATGGATATATTCACCAGGGCTTCCGCTAGGCAGATGAGCAGGATTTCTGAGCTTGCGCCTTCTCTCCTCTTTTGGCTCTGGCAATCCTCCTCACTCTCTCTCTCTCTTGCTATCGTAAGGCACCGTCTCCATCCAGGCCTCTCTGTATGCACTCACAGCTTCACCAGCAGCTGAGCAAAAGACTCGACCTGGGGTGAAAAATGGAAGCTCCCAGTTCCTGGGTTCAAACCTTATGGGCTTTATGCATGGAATTTGTTTTACCTCAGGCAAATGCCTTACCTTTTTGGGTTAAGGTTTCCTCACCGGTAAAATGGAGCTGAATAATAAAACTACCACTTCACAGAGTGAGAATAAATACAAAAATGCTGAGGGAACACACCTAGAGTCATGCTTGACTGTTATTAAGGAAGTTGTTACTTGGAAAGGAATAAGAAATTTGGACTTTTAAGGCAGGGTGTAGTGGCTCATGTCTATAATCCCAGTTACTTGGGAGGCAGAGATGGGGAGGATTGTGGTTCAAGGCCAGACCAGGCAAAAAGTTAGTGAGACCTCCATCTCAACCAACAAGCTGGGTGCAACGATGCACATCTAAACTCCCAGCTATGAGGGAGGCATAGTAAGAGGATCACAGCCCAAGTACAGCCTGGGCAAAAAGTGTGAGATCCTGCCTAAAAAATAACCAAAGCAAAAATGGAGAGGCTTAAGCAGTAGAGTGCCTGCCTCGCAAGTGGGAATCCCTGAATTCAAACCCCAGTGCCTCCAAAAGAGAAAAAAGAAAGAAAGAAATCAGGACTTTAACACTGTCCTACAACACAACCTCAGAATCAGAACTCACCGAGTCGCTCTGTACTGGCAGGTCTGCTTCATCCTCTGAGACAGTGATGGAAACAGCAAAGAGCAACCAGAAAAAATTAAAAAAAAAAAGAAGGAACATCTTGGACTGTCCCATGTCTGTGCCTTCTATTATTATTATTACATAACATGGCATGTTACTTGGAGAAAACAAAGCTGCTTGGCCACTCTCTGAGTGGGTATCATACATTGAGCAAAACAGGAACTATGGATAAACAATTAGTTATCTTGGGGATGGACCAGAGGTGGAAGTTAAATGCTTTTACAACCAGAGTCTTTAACTACTTTCAATCCAACACAAATGTTTTGAAAATACTTCAAGAGAAAGCAGGTTGAAAGGTAGCCCTGATGTACTTTTATTAGAGATAGCCATAAGACATGATAGCCATGATAGGCAGGTCTACCCATCTAAAGAGTGACACAAAGGATGACATCATTTAGAGGATGGGAGAGACTGTTTAAAGATACTCATTGGAAAAAACAAACTATTGAATGAGATACAGAAATAGCCAAGCCTGTTGCCAGCAACCTGAAGTATTTAAAAAGTCCTTTTGAAACAGGACTGACTGCTTGGGAGACATGGGTTGGTTGAAGAAAAGTGAGCAAGTCTTTGAATTAAATGATCAAGCTTCAAGCCAATTTAGCAAACTGCTGTACCACATATTAAGTCCACATGAAGTCTAACTTCTTTCTTACCTATATAACTTTCCGGTTATTCTTAGAATATTTTGGATGGGGCCTGGGTAATTTCACTTTTAACAGTTCTGATGCCTACCCAAATTTGGAAACCACTGGTAAACCTTTTAGTGGCTACTACGAGTATATTATATAGACATGCTACAATTTATTTAATCAATCTTTTCTTGGACATTAGGTTTAATCTGGGTTTTCACTATGATAGGACAACCACCTTTATCATAACAGGTGACATTTATTGCCCATTTCCTGTGTGCCAGACACTTTGCTACATGTTTATTTTTGGGGGACAAATTCTTATTAAGAGGTAGTAGAGTCAATTTTGTACCTTTGAAGGATGTTTGCCACGTGGGAAGGTTTGCTCTGTGGCCACTTTTAGATTAACTTCACACTGTGGCGAGGCCAGTCTTCAGCTATCAGCTCGGGAAGTACCCTCAGACACTGGCTCATTCAACAGACCTAGGGAAGAGGTAGCCCAATGTCCTGGCTCATGCTTGCTGCTATGGTTGCTAAAAGTAGCTTTCCTGAGTGGTGGCCTCCAGAAATGTGTGGTGTCCCGATTCCAGCCACAGGAACTATGTGCTGTTTGTGGGAACTGGCACATTTCATATGCTGCCTCTTCTATGCCCATCGAGACACAGCTGGATCTGGCAATTGAGGGAACACAAAATAGTGTGCAAATGTGTGTCCAAGGTCATGTCTTACAGAATCCTATATGAAAATGTTCTGACACAGACAAGAAATACATGTTGGCCTATGTGCTCAAGTAATAAAGAAATTAAAACTGTCCTAAAAAAGCTAAGTAAGCACCTTGGAATAATGTAGTGAGCAAAAAAAAAGGAAGAAATGTCTTTTCTTCTCATCTCATATATACACATGCAGGTGCTTTTTACCACTTGAGCCACTTCGCCAGCCCCTCGTTTAATGTGTAGAAAACTGGTAATAATATGCACTGTATCTCACAACATACCTTAATACCTAGCCTCCTAACAAGCAGAGACAGAAGAAATTGTTTGGGGATGGTGAGATTTTGGGGTTTTCTTGGCTCCCTGAATAGATCTTTTCTATATGACAGCAGTAACTCATTATAATGCTAGCAGAGACAAAGCCCCTTGTTTTCAAAGAATCTGATTGATTTAGTAAACACCACTAGATAACATAGGACCTAAGACAGCTAGTAAAACACAGGCTGGTTACCTGTGAACAAGTCTCGTGAAACCACTAGCTATCATGCAAGGTAAAATTTGGAAACGAGGCTGGATTTTATGGAGAACTGGCTACTTTTTAAAAATTGTATTAAACACATTTACCTTGATCACTGAGTGTTTGTTAAATTTTGAGCTTTAAGTGAATACTTCCCTCACCACATCTTTGTCCCAGGCCTGAGACAGAGAATACCGTCTGTGCAGTGGGCCCAAGTAATGGTGTTGAGAAGAAGTGAAAAGGGAGAAAATAATAGAAGCTTTAGAAACACAGATGGCAAATTAGTAACTCAATGGTGTATTTATCATCTGCCTTCATGCTTATAACTCATGGCCCCAATATCTGTCCTCTCTGTAGTAGAGAAACGGTGCATTTTCAGCGGGTGAGTTAGTGTGAGTCTTTCTAAATAGCTCCCGTGGAAGCAGCACTGTGGAGGAATTAGAAATGTTTCCTTGGGAGTCTGGGAGAAGTAGACACTGGGCAGCCTTCGATTAGCTGCTGCCGGTCTGTATTTTTTTTTTTTCTGATGGATGAGGGAGTTGCAAAGTTCCTCCCTGCCACCACGTCCTAATGGAGGAGACCATATTGTGTCACTGTGTTGTTTGTGTTTAGCCAAGATTGGTATCTACTGCTCATCAGACAAGAAGCCACTTCTGATGGGGCCTCTGAGGAGGCCAGGGCTCCTAGCTTGACAGACACAGCAAAGAAACAGCTCTGTGATGCCAGTTGTCTCCGAAGTGGGTAGATGAATTCCAGGAGGGACATAGGACGATGGTCCTTTGAGATACAGGAAGAAATATTCAAACTTTTATTTTCACAATATGCTCTTTATTGCATTCTTTTTTTTTTTTTTTGGCAGCACTGAGGTTTGAACTCAGGGCCTCACACTTGCTTGGTGGGTGCTCTTACTGTTTGAGCCACTCCACCAGCCCTGATTTGTGATTTTTTTTCTTTTTTTCTAATAGGGTCTCACAAACTATTTGCCCAGGGCTGCCTTCCTCACGTTCTCTGCCTCCTGAGTGTTTTATGATGAAAATGCTTTACTATAATAATACATTTGCACCATGATTTATTTAGGGGTATATTTTAAAATTACCAATAGGAATATATTCAACCCTTTGAATGATCCTGGAAAAGAGGGTAATGAGATGGGCGGAGTCAGACTGTGCTAATAAGGCCGGATTTAGTCAGAGAACAGGAATTCAAATCCCGGTGTGCTGCTTCCCAGCTATGTCAGCTTTGGCACATCACTCACCCCTTTGAGCCTCTAGTTTCCACACTTACTAAATGGGTATATGAAACTTATGATAATACATCTAGGACCGAACAGTAGGTGGTACATGAAATTTTAAACAGTATGTAAATTTCAGATATCATTAACCACTTTGATTTTCTTAGAATCTCTATAAATATACCAGCTGGTATTATTAATATACACATTTAAGAGGTAACAGTCAGGAGGTAGGGGGAGGAAAGAGACATGGAAGTGGTGAATCTAATTAGATACATTGTAAGCACATATGTAAATGCTACAATGAAATCCCTCTGTACAAATAATCAATGCTAATAAAAAGAGGCACCAATCAGCTCTGTAGAGGAAGTTTTCTTAAGCAGTATTCCACAGTCTAATTTGGGGTAATAATTATCCCTTAGGCAGATTCAGAAGAATAAAGATTTTCCTTTCTTCTAAGATTGTCCCAACAACATCTGTGTGGTTTCATCTTAACCCATAGCTTTATAAAGAGATATCCAAATAATATCATTCACAAAATCCTTATGCAAAATATCCATGACTGGAGGTAGAAAACTCTGCCAAGAAACTGCACCCAGAAACATTGGCTTGGGTTTTTATGCTTCTATTTTACATGTTTTTTTTTTTTTTTTTTTTAATGAATGGCCTGGCTTTAGGACAGACAGGGAAGGAATTGGAAGGCAAAGCAGAAAGAAAAGTGCTGTATCCTTGTATCTTTGTTAGGGGACAAATTCCTATGCCACTAGAGAGGAGTTCTAACTTGAGCCTGGGTACCATGGCCTCACGGAAAAGGGATTCTCAGTCTTGGGGCTGCTGACATTTTGAGCCAAGATAATCTGTGGCTGTGGAGGCTGTCTTTTAGTATCCTTGGACTCTACCGGATGCCAGTGGCATTCCCTTCCCATCCCAGCTGTGACAAGTAGGTCACCAAATGTCCCTTAGGGGTGGCAAAACTAACCCCATTCCACTTTAGTGGAATGATTTTTAGTGTAGAAGTGAGCCTAATGCACTAGGGAACCTGAAACCCAAATTTGACTTCTACAATTCTTCTAGAATTTTTCCAAGGGCACACTTCATAAATCTGTTGTGACTCTTTGTATCATACCTGAAAGCACAAATCAGATGATGACTTGATCTCATCCTTCTTTGAAAGAGCTCACATCCTTCACGGTCTCTGTGAATTGTAAAAGGACAGTCAGGAGAGATGCCAGGATGATGTCGTAGGCTGGAAGAAGTGTGTCTGTATGAGGAAACCAAATGCAAACACTAGTGCATGTCATCTGTGTGATGCGAGCACACTCTGTCAGTTGGCCATCGGGTGGAATGAGAAGAGTAGGAGGATAATTTTCACCATTTCCTTTGTTCCTGTCCCTCCTTTTCTTTTTCTTTAGTTATCTTTCCTCTTTCTTTCTTATCCCCCACTTTTTTTTCTATGTCCTTCTTATGAAAATTCCTTTCCCCCTGTTATTATTTCAGTCATGCACCAGTCATGGAAACCCAGCATTGAGGCTATGAGTGGGGCTCTGGAACCAGATGGCTTGACTTTGAATCAGAGCTCTGCCACTTTCTTGCTGTGAACATACTCAAGTACGTTACTTAGCCTCCATCTGCTTTCATCTCGTTGCCACTGAAATGGGGACGTACCTCTTGGTGGTGAGATTGACAAGAACATATATAAAGCAAGAGGATCAGAGCTGGGCATGCAGCAAGTACCCAATAAATATGAGCTACTAGGATTATCTTCACGATCAGGTTCTCAGCCAGAGAACATGCACCATGCTTTAAGAGTCCAGTGACATTCGCTTGTTTGTATTGAGAGAGAGTTATTCTGTATCACTGGCTAGGTATCTGTTTTGTGACACTTCCAGGAGTACAACTGGTTTAACCCCTTGTGCTGGGGGGAAAGCTAAAGGCTAGAGACAAGTGTACCTTTTACATTTCCATTCAGTTTCTCCCTGAAGTATGCCTTGTTACTGCTAGCGCAATGCAAGCAGAGTTACACTGTATACATGTACAAATGCATACGATATTTCTGTGTGATTGGAGAAAAGGGAATATTTGAAAATTACACAAATAAGAACAGACTATTAAATGCAGGAAAGAAAACTTTGAAAGAAAACCCTTTCTAAGCAATACTTTTATTCATCTATCATTTTTCTTTAAAAAGACAGTAACGTACTAATAATAGTGTTTAATAAGTGAGGATTTCCATAAAGTCTGAGTATAGAGCTCAGTGGTAGAGCACTTGTTTAGTTTGCAGAAGGTCCTGTATTTGATCTCTATGACTACAAATGATAATGATAATACTAATAAAATAAAAATCAATCTTTTCATTACAGTTATTTCACAATGATATCTAAGAGGAAAGTGAAGGAAACCAAGGCAAAGAGAAAAAGAGAACGAGGTAAATTAGGGAATTCACTGAAGAAACACAAATGATCTTAAAGCTAGTAATCAGGGAAGTACAAAATACAACAGCAGTAAGATACCATTTGGGCAATTAATGAAAATTAAAAGATTATTAATATCCTTTTTATGTGAGGATACAAAGAAAAAGGTACTCTCTGTTCTACTGGTGAGAAAAAAAGCACAATGTTTTGAGAGGACCATTTGGCATTCTTTCATTATTTCAAACAGTTATTGTCTTGAACCTAGCCAAACCACTTACACAAATCTGTCTGAGCGAAATCTTTGCCTTTAAGCCCAAAGGTAAGTGTACCAGGATGCTCACTGAATCATTTCTAACAGAAAAAAAGCAAAACCCAGGAACAATCAAGGGTTGATGTCCATTTATAGATGGAAACAAAACAAGCAGATTATACACTCACACTACAAAGTGCCATGGAATGGTATAAAAGGATGAATGCTAGTAGAAAAAGCACACGGGGGTTGCTAAAAAGCAGAACATGCAAAAATTTATACTTTGCATATATGCAAATATATAGGAAAGGATTTGAAATCATATATTTTTTTGGGGGGGGTACTACTGGGGATTGAACTCAGGGCCTGCACCTTGAACCACTTCACCAGTCATTTTTTGTGATTTTTTTTTTTTAAAGATAGGGTCTAATGAACTATTTGCCCTGGGCTGGCTTTGAACGATGATCCTCCTGACCTCTGCCTACTGAGTAGCTAGGATTACAGGCTCCAAAATTACGTATTCTATGTTTTTAACTATGAATAGCGGCCATCTTTGAGGCCAGTGGGATTGGAGTCCTCACTTTAACTCTGAACTACTTTTTAACAGAGTTCCAAGTTTTTACAACAAACACTTGGTTTAACTATTAAGGTAAACAGAAAAGGCAGCTTAGTATATCTTTCTTTGCTCTTGAGGATTACTGGGGTGATGTGTAAACTTTCAACCTGAGTATATCTGATCTGAGGTATCTGACTGGGATCTATACATCTTGATAATACTTTGTGCCTTTTAGAATTATTGCTTTGAATTATACAATACGCCGCCTTCAAATTTTTGGAAGGCAACAGGCAATTTCTATCTTTTAACATTGTTGAGGGGTCAACGCTAGGTATCTTTGGAAGATGAAAGATACTGAGAAGGTACGCATCCTAGTTTCTTCACTCGACATTCAGAATACCAGGGGTAGATCATGGTCCCAGGTCTGAGGCCGGGGAAGAGCTGGAGACCCTGTCTGAAAAGTAAACTAAAGCAGCATGGGTTGGGGGTGTGGCTCAAGTGCGAGGCCTCGAGTTTAAACTCCAGTATCACACACACACAAAGAACATACACTAGGAACCCAAAAAACATTTTTTTAAAATAAAGACACAAAAAGATGTATCTAGTGTAGAACTTTTACAAGCATTTAGGAAGGAGAAACTGAGGCCCAGTGAAAACCACACTAAATGAGTGAATGAGAGGTGAGACAGGTGGCCATGATACAGCATTTAGAATTAAGACAAAGGCAGCCAGGGTCCCTTTTGGAGCTGGAGCAAATCCAGGGGCATTAGGTAAAAGGTTCTTTTCTCATGGTATTTAGGTGCTAAGATTGGGGAAGAATTGGAAAATAGAACTGAAAACAAGCAGTCATATCAACCTGCACTGGGTCACTGTGTGGTACTAAAACTGGAGTTTTGGACCCCAGGCCCAGACTCCTGGGCTTCCACATCAGGTTTGGTCACTCAGCCCTCTATGCTAAATAAAGAGGCATGGTGAAGGGCAGAGGAAAGAGATTTATTACACAGCTCAGGACATGCCTTGGGAAGAGGCCCAGTAAGCACTCAGCTCATTTCAGCCATCTTTGGGGTACAGACTTGAGCTTTAGCTTTAAATAGACAAAGAACTGGGGGCAGGGGGACAGAGGGATACATAAACAGTCCCAGTCACAGGTGTGGTCTGGTTGGTCATTATTTCTGTCCTGGCTATGGCAGAGGTGAAAGGGGTGTGTGTGGGGTTGTTGTAATCCAGTCATCGTCACCTGGCAGGTGAGGAAGCTCCACTGTTGGGGGTAACTTCTGTCCCTGGTCATGAAGATGTTGTCAGTCTGTCTCTTCTAGAATCCAAGGTGATTGCAAAGTGACTGCAGAGAGAATGAGTTGGAGCACAGACAGAAAATGATGGAGAAATGCCCAATACTACCCCAGTTTTTAGTTAATGTGTAGCCCAAGGAAGGAGTCAATGCTTTTCAGAAAAAGCAGTTTAAGTGCCTCTTACAGACTCAAACATAGCTTCTCCATACCCTACCTTTATCTCCTGGGGAGAACATGCTGAAGGCTGTAGGCACCTCATCCTACCCTCAGCTTCTGGCGTTGTTGCTGTGGACAAGGAAAGACAACCAAATCTTTGTGGGCTCGCTCTTAGCTGCTATTCCATTGAGCTAAGGAAGTTGAAGTTAGACAAATAAACACCCATCAGCATCTTTTTCTATTCATTCTCCTGAATCACATGGGTAAAGTCAGTGTCCAGGGTCGCTTGGCACTTCCTTGTTCTTAGTTATGTTTCATAGTAATGCTATGGTAACTTACTGTTAATCCTTTATTTTTTGGTGGGTCTAGGCTTTGAACTCAGGGCTTTGCACTTGGAAAGCAGGTGCTCTACCTCTTGAGCCACTCCTCCAGCCCATTTTGTTCTTGTTGTTTTGGAGACTGGGGTTCTCACAAACTATTTGCCCTGGCTGGCCTCTATAGATAGCTTCTTGACATCAGTCTCTCAAGTAGCTAAAATTACAGATGTGAGGCACTGACCAGCAATAAGGCTATCACCAAACAAAATAAAACAAAAAAAACAAAGAAAGGAAAGTTACATTTCTAAGATATAGAATGTACCAAACAATGTAGGATTGCAGAAATTAATTTTATTTTTTCTAAATCAATTCTAAAAAGCTTTATGAAAAAAAGATTTATGGAAAACACACACACACACATATATAAATAAATAAATAGGCATGTTCAATAAGGCAGGGAAAGAGACTGTTCATAGGACCTGGCACGACTTGGAAAGGGACCCAGAAGGACGTCTGGGACATTCAACAAAGGAAGGAAACTTGAAATAAACAAAGATTGGCTAAAACCCAGGAGGCAATAAGTGTGTGAAGTGTTTTAGGACCTTGATAAAGAGACTTAGTGCTAGCTGGGCACCCGTACCCCCTACTTGGGAGGCTGAGGTCAGGAAATTCAAGGTTCCAGGCCAGCCTGGGAAAAAGGTTGAGGATACTCCATCTCAATGAAAAAGAGCTGGATGTGTGTGTGTGTGTGGGGGGGGGGGTGTGTCTGTCATCCCAGTGACGGCAGGAAGCCTAAAATAGAAGGATTGTGGTTCAGGGAAACCTGGGAGCAGGGAGAGGAAAAGTGAGAGCTTTTTTTCCAAAATAGTTAGAGCAAAAAGGGCTGGAAGTGTGGCTTAAAAGGTAGAGTGCTGGCTAGCCAGTGTGAAGTCCTGTGTTCAAACCCCAGTACAAAGCAATAAAAAAAAAAAAAAAGACTTGGAGCTGAAGGTAGATTTCCAGTCTTAGGGAGAATGACACCATCAGAACTGAATGAAGTTTGCAGCATGTAATAATTTGTAAGCCTGCATTTTTTTCATTTTGATGTGTACTTTATGATACAAAAGTATGTTAGCGTACTATAACAGGATTCCTAAACGGACAGATTTGGGGGTGTCATTAGAAGAAAAGTTAATTTCAGTACTCACTCACTAGGCATTTAATCCCAGTGTGTCTTGTATCATCTAAATGGTTCCCTTTGGTTCCTGTGTGTTCCCAGCTAGATTACAGGCTTCTTCTGTGTGTCCAGTCTGTGGATTCTGCCACCTCTGCAGTGCTACTCTTCTTTCTGGCCTCACACTACAGTACTCTCATTTGTTTTTTCTTTTTGGTGGCATGGGGGTTTGAACTCGGGGCCTCATGCTTTTTAGGTATGCCCTTTTACCATTTGAGTTACTCTGCCAGTTCCTCATCTCCACTCCTTTTCTTATGATGGGTCTCCTGAATATTTGCCTAGGCTGGCTTTGAACAGTAATCCTGATCTCTGCTTCTTGAGTGAGTAGCTAGGATTATAGACATGAGCCACTGATGCAAGGCCTTTCTTTTCCCCCCTCTTGTGCAGACAATTGCAACAGTCTTTTTTTCTGGTGTATAAAGACTTAACAACAAAGCTACAGAGAAATGGAAAACCAAAAGGAAAATATATAAGATGTCACTAAAAAGAAATAATAAAATAATCAAACACTGATACATTCTCTGTAGCTCTCCTCTTACCTCTACCACTTTATTCTGGCTTTTAATTATAACTATTAAAGTATACACACAACCCACAACCACAGCTTAAGGGTGCTGAACGTAAATAACCACGTTACACATTAAATGTGGGTCTGAAGTTTTGGCTCTGCTTGCTGAAATTACAGTAGAACACCTGGAAGTTACAACAGAACGCAGAACTCTAGGAACCTCTGGTGAGCTGTGTAGAAGTATCAGGCTTCACTGTGCCTACAAAGTTGTGACAAAGTCCCATTCAAGGGTGTTATTGCAGAGTTGAAGAGGAGGAAACCTTCAGAGAAGCCAGAAAGAGGGAGCTGGGAAAAAGAAGGAATGTGTTTCAGTGAAGTAGGAAGATTTGAGAGAAAAGAGAAAAAGGGAGAGAGAGCACAGCCCCTGACAGAGTCCCAGGATGGCAGGGAACGAAGAGTAAGTGTAGAGCTTGATCCTGAGATGGGCATAGACCAGGTGCTGAGTGGTTGAGAAGAGAAAAAGGCCTGGGATTGAATGCTTTGCTTTTGGTCACTTGGAGGCTGGATGAGCTTGGAGATAATGTCAACTAAGAGCAGACACTGTCACAGAAGAAAAGATTACTTGTATCAGGGCTTCCAACACTGTAATGTGCAGGTGGACCACCAAAGACATCGTTAAAATGCAGATTCAGTAAGGCTGAGGTGGAGGCCAACAGCCTACATTTATTTCCCTCCCTCCTACCCTTCTTTCCTTCTTCTCTTTTTTTCTGCAGTACTGGGATTTGAACTCAGGGCTCTACCACTGAGCCACGCCCCAGCCCAAGAGGTTTTACAATTCTAGGTAGCAATAGTTTATAGCATTAAAGAAGAGCACTTGAAGCATTTTTGTTTATTTATAAAATAAATAATGGGGGGGGAGAGGGAGGGGGCCGAGTGGGTGGTAAGGGAGGGGGTGGGGGCAAGGGGAGAAATGACCCAAGCCTTATATGCACATATGAATAATAAAATTAAAAAAAATAATAATGAATTTGTGCTTCCCAACATAGGTATCTCCCATGGGTTTATCAGAGACTTTAATTATGAAATTATCCTCTCTTACTTTAGTGGATGGAAATGAGTAGATTATCTGGGACCAAAAGAGGGACTCCAGTGCCCCAGGTCAAGCCCATAATAACACAGTTAAGAGCACAGTCATTGTTACACATCTACATTAATAACAAGATAACTACCTGTATTATTCATAGCAACCTATCCACATATCAAAGTGTTCAAGAGAACTTCCTGCGATAATGGAAATGTTTTATAACTGACTGTCCTATTGTGGTAGTCACTAACCACTTGTGGCTATTGAGCTCTTGAAACACGGCCAGTGCACCTGAGCAATAGTGACACGTGGTCACTGGTCACCATTGTCATCAATGACTGCTAACATTGCCAAGGACAACAGATGTCATTTGACCTCTGAGTCAAGTAGTCTTGCCATCAAGGCTCCAGAAGAAGCTACTAACTTGCAAAAGAGACCCCAGAGGTCACCATACCCCACGGTGAGAACTGATGGTGCAAGGAAACTTAAGTTCTTGAGCTCATAGATGGCAGCTGAAAACAACCAAGGAATTTAATCAAGTAGGGTTCTCCTGTCAAATCATTATCCAAAGTAAATAATGATTTACTTTTACTTTGATAGCTATCTCACATTGGATCCTATGTTTGAAATAGTATATAAAATATTGAAACACACACACACACACACACACACACACACACACACACACACACGCTTTGGAAGGAGACAATCTGGGTTCCACCTCTAGCCACACCTTCACTACTGTGTCATCCCTGGCAAGTAAACTCACCTCTCTGATCTTCAGTTCCCAAGTCTGTCTGTAAATTAGAGCTGATAATAATACCTACCAGGCAAGGGTGTTAGGAAGGAAGGTAAACTTGTGAGTGCATTAAAGCCCTATACAGTTAATCATTACTCACTGAAAGGGAAGTCAACGTCATAAAGCAAAACCCAAGAACTGCCTAGAATCTTTTGTTGTACTAAAGTTTTACTGCATGCACCCAGCCTCAGAAATCTCCTGTGAGGCACATCTCAATCCTTCCTATCTGTTGTAATGGGACAAAACATTTAAAGAACGAACACGCTAAAGCCACGTGGGAGAACGATGGGAAGGAACGCGGCGCTTTATTTAGTATCATGGGGTCTGCTAAGCGTCCTCTCATCTGAAATTATACAGAACGTAAAGGAAATCACAGGCTGCCGGTTTCCCTTGTACTCCTTGGTAATCTTGTGGAAACTTCCTGTAAAAGGCAGTTCTAGCATTAAAGTAAACGGATTTCACACTCACCGGATACTACCAGACCAACAATTGCAGTCCCTGGGGAGAAAAAGAAAATTGCATACTTATCCTTTATACTTTGTATTAGTTTGGAAGAACATGGAAACTCTCATGCTGGAGAAAACAGACTCATGCCAGAGGCAAGGAAACTGTTTAGAAACATGGTTACCATTTACTAATCCCACTGAGAGGCAGGGCTCATTAGCTGAGAAACTGGTTACACTAAAAAAAAAAACAGAAAAGGAAAAAAAATTCATCAAAGTACAGTACAGCACGAAAACAGTTCTTGGATAACTACAGTTTTAAAATACACAAATTTAATCCCATCTGCCGAGGAGCAATGCTAAGGATAATTTTAGAAATGGAAGCGTCCACTTGCATTTTATGTACTATTAGAACCACAAATGCTGGCTCCTCTTTGGTTTTGTAAGTGTACACTATCTGCCAGAGATAACGGTGCAAGGCCCTACGTGTGAGGTGCTGAACTGCAGTAGTGTTGAAGTCACAAGAGGGTCCACCTGATTGCCACCACGGTCAGCAAACGGCTGCATTTGGAGGCCTAGACCAGGGTTCAGCAAACCATTTTACCCGAGAAGCTCTCGTATTCAAAATCAGTGCGAGAAGAGAACACTAGAAATATGAAATGGGGCCTCTGTCTTCAAATCTTTGAATTTTAAGTAGGGAGACAAACATAAACTCATAAAAAATTAATCAGCAAAATAAAAATTACCAATCCAAGTATAAACAGTAAAGGCAAAAATAAAAGAAGCCGAGAAGAGAAAATCTCAATTCAGAGAATGATGATTACTATGGAGTAAGCAGTCTGGAAAGAGAGGGCGCCTTGGATTACAGTGGGACATGCCCTATGTCAGTGCCTTGGTGAGGACACCACAGCTTTGCCAGCCCTGTGAACCCTGGACCAACACCGACCTGGAGCACAGCCTCCACTAGCGCCTTCCTGTCTTTGTAGTTCTGTCTTGGCAATCACTTGGCACCTGTGCTGTTGCTTCTCTTGGCCCTTGACTACTATGGATAACGGATCACCTCTAACACATAAGTGGCTGTGTCCAGATCACAAAGCTGATGACAACAGTACAGCTTTAGTGACCAGCCTCCTCCCACAGCCCCACCTGAAGAAACACCCAAGTTCAGTGTCCCTTTCCTTGCTGAACACTGGCATGGCCAGAGACTCCTTCTTGAGTCTGAGTGGAGTCCAACTTGTGTGTGAAATTGTGGTCAGTGTTTAGCATCTCACATAGCTATGGAGCCTGGTTGGATCCACCCTTCCCAGCAGAGCTATTTATTCCTCAGGCTTGGGCCACTGTCTACCTAAGGCAGTATCTACCCCAGAAAGTCCTGTTTTGTATGTGAATGGAGCAGAGGTTTTAGTTAGGGATGTGTAGGGAGATGGGTGGTCACAAGAAAAGGTGGAGAAGACTGGGAAGGACTTGAGAGCCACATACCTGGGACTTTTTTTTTTTTTTTGGTGGGACTGGGGTTTGAACTCAGGGCTTTGCATTTGCAAAGCAGGTGCTCTAGCACTCGAGCCACACGTCAAGGTGTGTGTGTGTGTGTGTGTGTTCAGGGCTGGGGCCCCGTCCTCCCAGCACACTTTTCAAAAAAGCAGATTTGCTGGTCCTGCTGTAGCCCTACTGCTTAAGATCTTTGTGCCTACGAATCTACATAAAAAAAAAAAAAAAGGTACTGAGGGCTGGGGATGCAGTTCTTAGGTAGAGCACTTGCCTAGCATACCCAAGTTCAATCCCCAGCACTGCAAGAAAAAAAAGGAAAGGAAAATAAAGTGCATAAAAAAATATTCAATGTATATATAAAAAAAGCACTATTTATGGAAAATTTCAAGTCTATAAAATAGTAATCTACAGCCAATCTTGTTTCAGGGATATCCCAAACCCCCTGCTTCTCTCTCCACATCATTACACCAGATTATCTTGAATCAAATCTAAGATATATCATTTTATCTGTAATAATCCAGTATGCATCTTTGAAAGATAAGGATTTTTGAAAAACAGTAATTTACTGAGTCCTTTATTCTCATCAAACCTCCAGTGAGAGTTCAAAATTAGCCAGTTGTCTTTAATTTTAAAATATTTGTTCAATTCAGGATTCAAATGAGGTCTCACACTTTGCCTCTAGTTGCCAAGTCTCTTGTAACCACAGAAAGTCAAGAAACCTGGATAGATCTTTCAGGCCCCTGGGTTTAGGGCAGCTACTGATTTAAAGCCAGGCTAGAAGACTTCTGGGGTCTGTGTCATGTGGTAGAGTCATTTCTCTCTGTTTCAAAGACTCAGAGCTCTACCCAGAGCAGGGCAATTTTAAAAAAGTTAGTAAGGTCATCAACGACTGGGAAAGAGATGAGAACTACAAATGCACTGCTGAAATGGGCACATGAAGACCCCAAAGGGCATGATGGTTTGATCACTATGTCTTGGTCATGGGTTTCTAATACTCCACAGAGCCCTCACCTGGCTGGTGGTAAGCCATGTGTGTGAAGGTGGCCAGTGCATGGCAACAAAGATTTTCCTACCTTCGCCCAAAGCTGGCAATGATGATTTCTCTGCCTCCCACGAACCTCAAACAGCCGCACATCTTCTCAAGTGCAAAAAAAGTGCTTTTGCAAATCACTACCTTTGTTTGCACCTAATCATAACTGTGACAGTTATCGTTATTGATGACTTTCGAAGGACCAGGCCATGTGTCTACCGGGGCTACACAGAAATGGTTACCTGTTCAATGACTGAACAACAATACTGAATACTTTCTTTACATTTAAGCTTCAAATGCTACCACTCTGCTAGGAGCTTATTATCTGTTTACAACATCATTCTAAGATGACTTACTATATGAACTGCTAGTCTGATCTAAGTGCTTTCTGTATAATATTATCTCATTAATCAGTACAATGGCTCCATGAATTAGGTACAATATCCCCCCTTCGACTCATGTGGTGTTTAAATGACTTATCTATGAACACAGGCTACAAGTGACTGCACTTGAGTCAAACCTGAATGGCCAAGGTAGCTAGTAGTTCTGGAAGAAGAGGCCTGCCTGTATCAACACTCCCGGTTACAGGTTCTTCACAAGATCAAGTTCAAAAAGGCAGGGTTAGAGATCCCACCTGACTAATTCCAGACCTGCCTCACTTCTCCCCATCTCTGACATTGTCCCTTCCTTGTTCTAAGTCTAAACAATTCTGCTTATATGGCAGGTAACAGTTCCATAAAGAAACCTCAGAAATTCACAAGATGGTTTTTAGACCACTCTGACTTGCTTAGCTCTCTCATTCAAACATTTTTAAAGAACTCTGTACACACACCATTAACGCTAATCCAGACAACAGTAAACCTGAAGCTTCCTTCATGGTGGAAGAGGAGTATTGGCTTGTTTGGAGTTTCTCTCTCTTTCTTCTTGCTCAGGACTTGGTCTGCTTCTCAAGGTGGTTGGAGCAGCAACCTTCATTTCAGATCAGGTCACACACACCTGAGAATGAAGTGAAAGCATCGCACACACACCTGGAGGGATGCCTGGGGAGATGTGTCAGGGACCTTACTTGCAAGCTGTTGGGCTTCAGTCCCCCAGGCCATCATGTACAGACAGGCTGGCTTTCTAGACGGGGAAGAGATAACAGAATGTCGAGCCAGGAGCTCCCAGTCCTCTGGTCAGACAGCTCCTAGGCTCCAGCCCGCTGTCCTAGAAGGTGTGTGTGCAAAAAACTTTTGAGATCAATGCATACATTGTCCTCTAATAAGGCAAACGTGACAGCTGCCTATCCAGTAATTGTTCGTGCCACACAGCCATCTCCTGCGCTATAGTTATGCAACCTCACTCGCAGCGGGAGTTATTTCCTGTGCTTCTGGATGCGCCAGATTCATGTAACACGCCTACCCTGGGCTCAATGGAAGTCGTTCTCCATTAACAAGCACTCCAGCTTTCCGAGATGAATGCCTTGCACAGCATACGCCTGGCGCAGTAAAAAAAATCAGGCCTCTCTCGGTCCTATTCTCTGTTTCTCTCCCTCCCCCCCTCCCCCGCACCCCCATACACACTTCCCCTTGTGCATGCAGCCAGGGGACGACAGCAATGCAACCAGAGGGACGGCAGGAGGAGCTCTCTTTGCAGCCCTTGACTATAACCCCCACTAACTAAAGATGAACTCGGGCCAATTCCATTCTTTGCAAGGAAAACACACACACACTCGGCAGAAGACAGTGTAGCCTCCACATTTGCTCCGTGAGCCCACTGCCGTTATAACCTGTCGGCTCGAGAAACCCGGATATTCCGAGCCCAGTAACCGGGAGCAACAAGGCGCCTCAACAATGCAAGCTCGGGAGCAGCTCCTCTTGCAGCGCAGCGCGGCGCGGCGCGGCGCGGCGCGGCTCGGCTTCGCTCCCACCCCCGCCCCCTCTCGCAGCGTGCCAAGAGTTTGGAGCGCGCGCACGCACGCGAGCGAGCGCGGCGCGTATCCCTCCGCCTCCCTCCTCTCCCCCACCCCCTCCCCGCGCAGCTCAGACGCTCGACGATTTGGGAAACGCTGGGAGGAGGGAACTACTTTCCTGAAACTTGCTATGCTGCACACGACTTCCACTCGCAGTGATTCGTCCGGGGGCCGCCGCGTTTAGTTCCCCCCTCCCCCGGCCCCGCGTCCCCCACCTCCCGGGTACTCGCTTGGCAGCGTCCCGCGCGCTCGCTCGCCCCCGGGGAAGGCCGGCGTCCGGGAGAAGTCGCGAGGGACTACTTCGCGTCCCGCTCCCGCGGCGCCCCCGGCTCGGGCAGCGCCGGCGGAAGGAGCGGGCGGCGTGAGCGCTTCCGCCGCCCCCCTCGCGGCTCCCCTCTGGCGGGCGTGAGGCGGTGGCCCGCGGAGCTGCAGCTGGGCACGGCTGGCGGGGGGCCCTGCGGCCGCTCCCCTCATCTCCTCGGGACCCGAGTCTCGCTCGCCGGCCCTTCGGGGAGCCCTCTGCGCTCTCCCTCCTCCTCTCCGCGCCCCCTCTTGTCTGGAGGAATCCGCCGCCGCGGGGCCCTCGCCAGTGCGGCCCGCGCCTGAGGGCCGAGCCGGGCGCGCCGCGGGCGGAGCGGCAGCCGGCGGCCGGGCGGGAGATGGTGGGCTGGGCTCCGGCGGGACCACGCCGCCGCCGCCCGCAGCCGGGGCTCGGCACCCCCCCGCCGAGCAGCCCCGTTTCCTCCCGGCCGCATCCCTAAGGGAAGCGCCGCCGTCTCTGCTCCCGCGCTCCCCGCCCGGACCCCCGTGCTCCACCCCAGCAGCCGCCTCTGCAGCACCTTCTCCCCCCGCCTCCCAACCCCACTCCGGCTTCCATTGCCGCCCGGAGCCCGTGGCCGGTTGCTGAGCGCTGTGGGGGTGGTGGAGGGAGAGGCTGGGGTCGCCACGGCCGAGGCTGCTGCCGCCGCCCCCCTGCGGGGGTGGCCGGGGTTCCCAGCTCTGGGGACCCCGCTCCGGGTGAGGCGTCCACCATGGTGAGCCCGCTGAGCCACTGTCCCTGCGCCCCCCCGGCCGCCTGCTGCCCCTCGGTGCTGCGCCTGCTGTTGCTCCTCCATCTCCAGATCGGATCGCGGTGAGGGAAAGATGAGCGAGGAGACGGCGACTTCTGACAACGAGTAAGCCAGCCAGCTCCCGGGGTCCCTTCCCCACCGCCGACCCCCTCCCCGGGCCTGGCCCCGCACTCCCCCGGGCTACCCTCGGCCGACTCGGGATCGGGAAGCTGGCCTCCCTGGAGTCAGTCCGGTGCATCCTGGTTTTTGGGGCCATTTTATTTGATGGCAGTGTCCCTTCATCCTCACAGTTAGTCTTCCTGCCGGGGGAGGCCATGCACTGCAGGGTGGGATGCAATTGGGGGCGCTGAGGTGGAGGCATGTGTACGGGTGGGAGGGGGGTGGAGGTGACCCCGCTGGCCCTTCCGCACTCGAGCTTACCTACCCACACACCTTGGTGTCCATCTGCTTCCTTTGTGGCCACCTCCCTCGGAAGCGAACGTGCGGGAGCCCCCTCGTGCAGCAAACTGCCCTGGAATCTTAATTCGATGACTCAGTGACTCTTAAATACCGATTAAGCCTTCGTCCCCTCCCCCTCCTTTTAAACTTGTGACCTATGCGATTCTTGTTTAAAAAAAAAAAAAAACAATCTAAAACCCGGGGTTAGGGAACCGGTTTTAGAATTAATAGGATTAGGGACACCTGGAGCGTGGGGGATGTTGAGCCATTCTGTTTACCTTTGCGAACGCTGGATGTGCCTTCCTCTGCAACCCCGCTGACTTAGGGATTTTTCAGTGTCTGTGTTTACCCTTGGTCATCTGAAGACACTTTTGACGTGAACAGTTCACATCGCTGACCTTGTTGGTGACTTCATCAACTTCTAGAGCAGTAAGGTTTTTAAGTTTTTGCTTATTTGGGCTGTTCTGAGACTTTCCAAACGAGGTATTTTCCCTTGAAATGTTTTGCTTTCACGTAGCGGCCGCGTGGAGGAACCGTGGTGCGGTTAGTTGCCTTATTGAGAAGGGTTTAATCCTGTGCAGACTTAGCATCCGTTTTCTTTAATGAAGTTAAAGCTTTGTTTATCTTTGGAGGGTTGCAAAGCGTTAAGTGAGTCACTAGTCGTCCTTAGGATGCATTGCTTTAAATAAGGTGCATTCTTCCAGCCGAGCTTTTTGAGAAGGCTGGGAGTGCGGAGCCGAGGCCTGCCGGGCACCGCCGACCCGGGCTGCAGAGCGCCGTCCCCTGCGCGGGCGGAGCGGGCGGCGCAGCGCCGCCATGTTCTCCCTTTTTGTGAATCGCCCTCATTTGCATAGTGCACTCTTCATTCATAAAAAAATAATTAAACCTCCATCATCTGGACATCTTGAAAGGATTTCCCAAGGAGGAAAAAACCCAAGCTTGTTTGTCTGTCTGCTTGCAGATTTTTGAGTCCAGGAAGTAGGGAGAATTTGAAGTTTTGGATTAAATGTAAGAACCGAGCGCACACAAACAGCCACCCCGGTTCTCAGTGTTGACACAGTTATGTGGGAAATATCAGTTCGGGGAGGTGCTGGGATCACGTGGTCGCCTCCATTCATAAATACCTGGCTGTCCATTCACAGCGCGGTGCCGCGGCTCCTGCTCGGCAGATTGGACCCGGGTGTGGAGGGAGCGGGCCGGGCGGTACCGGGTCGGACCGGGCCGGAGGGGGGAGGGCGGGGCGGGGGGCGGGTGTGCTTCCCCCCAGCGCGAGGAGTGCCCACGGCCCCTTGCTCCTCCTGCGGAAGGAACCGAGCGGACGGTGTGCGTGCGAGAATGAACTGAACGCGCGAGGTGCGTGTGCGTGGTGAGGTCGGGGACCACGCCGCCCTGCACTGCCGTGGGAAAGTCTTCAGCGGCTTTGAGCCCAACGTGTTGCTATTTTGAAACTACTTCCTGGAAGAGCTGCTCCCTCCCCCCAACCCTAAATGTGGTTAGTGTGGGACAACTTGAAAATTGCCTTACTCATCCAGACTTGTAAGTTTCTGGTCCACAAGTATCTCCTGCTTTAATAATTACTCTCTAGGCGCTCTGTAATGCAGAACCTTTGGAGGATCGTGTGTTTTAGCGGGTATTTTAGGGTGAGACGTTCCCTCTTCGTAGGGATAAAACCGGGGGAGGGAGGATTTAAAACTGTTCCATCTGCTAGTCAGTCAGTCCTGTGAGAGCCTACGCCGCCTACGCCGCCCGTGCGTTAGCTCAGCCACGAAGAGCGAATGCCTTTGGAATGGAGCTTTCAGTCTGGTAATCTATATGGCTCATCTTTAATACATGAAGTAATGCTTACAAAAGGAAATTTAGTGTTTATGATCAGATGCGTTATGAGGCAGCAAAAGAGATTATAGAGCGCAAGGTCTTAAGACCTTAGCATAGTTTAAAGTTGCCCCATAATCCTGATTTTGAGTCTTAGACATTTTTCCTTATTTTTTCTTTTTTTAAGCCAATTACAGTGGAATCTGTTCTTAAAATTTCATTAGTTCTGTTTTCAACCTTTTAAAAATGAAAAAAAAACCCACCAGTTTATTGGGAATTTGTTAATTTTTTTTCTACTTTGCCATCGTAAAATACAGTAAGGCCTTTTTAGCAAGTCTCATTTTGAAATCTGTTTGAATTTACAGTTCGTGTAAAGTAGATTACTTGTAGGGGTTGATTGTGAGTGTTTTTAAGCAAGAATTAGTAGAGGATCTATTTCGTATAAGACTTTGTCTAAACATTGACAGACCAAATGAAGAACAGAGTAGAATAGGGTAAAACATCAGACTTCAAATTCGTGCTTAAAAACCGTATTTTTTGAAAGGAAGCCAATAAATGTTGTGAAGAGTAAAATGCTTGTGTCACACATGGACGAATGGGTTACACGTGACTTTTGTAGGTAATTTTTTACTTTATAGAGATTATAGTTTATAGAAATTAATATTCCAGTCAAATGTTTCCATACTGTACTTATTTATTATACATGTTTAATTAGCTTTTTAAATAGAATTGTGAACATCTGAAGGCATATTACATAACACATTAGGGTTTTTGTACTTTGCTGTTGAGTGAATATAGTACTACATGTTCTTTGCCAGTTTGGCCCAAGCTCTTGGAGAAGTGAAAAAGCTGCAATATTTAAGCAGCTTACTTACGCTGACGCTAGCCAGAAACTCTTCCATGTCTGTACTAGGGCTTGTGATGGCAAATTGGGATTACGTTAAAATTTAGAAGTTGGTTAATGGGTTAATTTTTATGGTTATCATTGAAAATGTACCCTGTGGTGGGTTATTCTGAGGGGTTGTGTGTGAGTGTGTGCTTTACATGTTCATACATGTGCATGCATTGCATGTGTGTAATTGGGAAGCATTCTAGAAATGAACGAAACATTAGAAAGCTGTAATATTAAGTCAGGGAATGCTTGCTCAGGTGCTGTATGTTACGGTAGACGCAGTGAACACAAGACAGGAAATTTGCTTAGAAGCAGTCCATCTGTGGATCCAGATGTGAGCCCACCTGCTTCAGCTTCGCTTCCTCTCCTTTCCCATTTCAAACTTCATCATCCGAAATTGCTGGATTTTTTTTTTTTTTTTTTTGCGATACTGGGGTTTGAACTCAGGGCCTCATGCTTACTAGGTGGAGTGAGGCACTCCACCAGCCAGATTACATTTTTTTTAAACACAGTATGCTGGCATGCTTAAATGTCCCCAGAAGACTTTCTCGTTTATGGCATAGTCTCCCCTTCACAGTCCCTACTGTGTTGGGCTCTGTACTTGGTACACACTTACACAAGAGATTTAAAATTCATACAATGTCTTTCTTGCTTCTGTATCCTTTATTGAATCTCCTGCTCTTTTCAGCCTGGCCCAGTGTCGGTGGTTTAATGGGTTGGTTTTTTTTTTTTGGTATGTTTGAGATCATTAGCTACATTAGAAAAGTAGGTTGAAAAATTAAGGGAAAAGTAAATTGCTATGTTGTCCTTTAAAGAAGGCTTTCTTATTATTACTTTTAAGGCCAAAAGTGGCCTAATTTTTGAAATGTTTTAGTTCAGCCATAAAACAAAATGTAATATAAGGATATGTTGGCCTCTCAGCTGTGCAGTTTATCTGAAGAACCATGTCATCAACAAGAACATAAGTAATTTGTGTCTCTTTGTTTTGCTTTGTTTTGACATAAGAACTCAAAACTTAGTAGTTTGTATTTCTGGATGTTTTGGCAGTACTGGGGTTTGAACTCAGGGCTTCACACTTGCTAGGCTGGTGCTCTACCACTTAAGCTACTCCACTAGCCCTTTTTAGTGTTGAGTATTTTCAAGGTAGGGTCTCTTGAACTCTTTGTCTCGGCTGGCTCCAACCTCAATCCTCCTGATCTCTGCCTCCTTAAATAGCTAGGATTACAGGCATGAACCACTGGGCCTGGGTGTTTCTCAGTTTTTAAGTTCTTTAATCTCCCTTCACAGATCCTCCATGCTGCCAACTGTAGAAACTGGCTAGAGATAAAGACATTGAGATTGATCAAGAAAGTGTAAAAGGTACAGTTACATTTTTTCATGCACAGCTGTAGGCAACTGAGAAGTGCCTAGGAGAAAGGGTAGCATTCTAGCCTCTTGGTGAAGGATTATAAAGAGAAGTCTGTTTTTCTTCCTCAGCCTTCTGTAGGAACTGGAACTGCATTAAAACTTCCAATTTAAAGCTGGACACTGGTGGCTCACGCCTGTAGTCCCAGCTACATGGGAGGTTGGAGGCCAGACCAGGCAAATAGTTATCAAGATCCCATCTACAAAATAACCAGAGCAAAATGGACTGGAGGTGTGGCTTAAGTGATAGAGCACCTGCTTTGCAATGGTTAAGCCCTGAGTCCCACCAAAAAAACCCTAAAAAACCTACCAGTTTAAAACTGACTTCACCCCACCCAGGAGTAGTTTAGTTTGGATTGTGTACATGATGATCTGATGTGAATCTCTCCCACAGACAGTGACGTCATCGCGCCTTTCTTTTTGTTGTTGAAGACGGACATATTCTTTGTTGGATTTTCACTTTGTGCTGAGCACAGTGGTGAATGCTTTACTCATGTGTTTATTACACAGTTAGTAAATGTGCACGGATGCATTCTCACCAGAATGGACTTGCACCGTG